AAATATCTAAATTTAACATTAAAGCAAATARGCGTTATAATTCACCACGTGACAAGCTGACTGATTTTGGCTGGCAAATAGTAGGTTTGAAAAGCAAACAAGCGTTAAAAATTATGATGTCGGACTAACTGAACGACATGTTCTACTTTGATGGTGTTTCTGTTATTCATAATTACAAAATCAAGCGAAAAATCAAACATACACAAAATAATTATTGAAAATTACCATAACAAGGTAAACACGTTTTTTGCACAATGGACGGTCCAAAACCCCCGAGATTTATGAAGTTAAAAAATAATAATAAAGAAAACATCTCCAAAAGTATGAGCTTTCGAAAATGAAACTGTAAGAGAACAAACTTGAATACACAAGGCGGATGTCTTGGTGAACTGCATTAATATTTTCCCGCTCTTACATTCTTCAATCATGATAGAAGTTCGTCGATTACGCTTCACGAACGATTTCCCTATTATCGAATATAACCATTTAGGATACTCATGAACTAGTGTAAAATACAATCTTGTACGAAATAAAGTTTTCCTAAAATGTTCAGGGAAAGAGCTCTTTCCATTCGAGAAAATTAACGTGAATTTTCCGCTATTAACCTGAACACTTCCTTGACCCTATGAAAACATGAATCGTACAAACTTACCATATTTTAAAGAAGAACTGTAACTTCTTTGAGCCTTTACTGAGATGACTTTTCACTSATTTTGACTGTCTCTTGAATGAGCGAGTTACGAAGCTGTAAATATCGAGAAAAGAAGTAGCAAGATTACTGTGAAAGCTTACGGGCTTTCTTGCCAAGCCACGCCATGCAATGGASCTGTCCTTCGGGAAAAAAATGTTKGCTATWACTAAGATAGCCGATGAACCGTAGTTTACTGAGTCCGTGATAAAAAACGTAAACTTTTAAGGTCAGTTCAACGTYTTGGGTAAGATTTCAAGTAAAACTATTTACGATAAAGTCCGTTCAAAAATCTCTTTAGTTCGATCGTCTTGGCATCTTTGCATGAATTTAGTTACGCAGGAAGTAGTCATGTGACTTAGATAATATGATGTCATCGCCACAGGGAATCCAACTTCTTAGATGATGAYTCSGATCACTTTATTGCCAGCTTTCATGTCCGAGCAGTAAAGTGGGTACAAGTTTTAAATCGGTGAGCTACATTATCTGAAAGAGCAAATCTAAATCAATAAAAAGGCAAAATTTGGTGGAAATCAAGTCAATATTCAAAAAATTATAGCCATTCAAAAACTCTCTTTATATTCAAGTATACGGCTTTTTTAAGTTTTAACATTTTTGAACAGCTTCTTCAAGTTCTTAGGTAGTCATCTGAACAAAACAAAACTTGGGGATATTATAAATTCTGATGTGATCTTSAAGATGATATAGGTAACTTGGTGATTTTTGCAATTTTAAAACTCGAACCCAGGCTTCTTCTCGGACATGYAGGCCGGGGCAAGAGGTATAAAAATGCAAGGCGTATAATTTTATTTTTTCTTCCAAGTAGAAGTTTTTCCGATTACTCTTCGAGTCGAATATGAAGTGACGTCATCATTACACATACACAGGAGTCCATTATAAATATAATAAAGGACATACAACTACTTGCAGAAACGTTGTCATAGAAAATAGGACACTTTAAATTAGCAAAAAGGAACGAATTAAAACAAGACAAGAGAGCGTTCGCCTCGGTGAYCTTGTTTTGTATTTTTAATTTATTCCTTTTTACTAAATACAAATGTCCTGTTTTCTTTGACAACGTTTCTGCACGGAGGTGTACATTGGTTGAAATATCACGAACTACTGTATACAATCACCAATAAGGAGGAGCCGACGGCTTTTAAATAACAGTTCTTATACTATTTTTTTTTTCTGGGAAAGGGGTTTTGAGGTACATTGTTGACAATCTCAGCTCACAAGATTGCGAACTGTCTGATTTTGATAGACATGTGGTATAAAAAACACGAGCGTAGCGAATGTTTCTCTTGCTTCTTGAGTGATTTTCAACTCCCATTGTGTTTATGTCAGAGGACAGAGACAAAAGCGTCCGTTGTCTATAGCTATATTCTACTCTCGACCGAATATAAATTATTTTCAAACTAAATTACATTCATAACAACAGTATACAGGAATTAGCATCTCTTTATTGGTTATGCTGCTATGTCACGGTTTACAACAATATGCTTCTATTACCACTGACCTATATTTCCTTTAAACTTTACGTACAAGAGTTTAGAGATACCTTCGATGGTTCACACTAACTGATTTCACTTATATATACTTCACGCTACTATTCCCAAGAGTATACGCATACCGCGTGACACGCACACTACGTTTATAAAAATACCAGTGCCATTTTCTGAAGACTCTGTAGTTAAAACACGTAGATCACGTGCTTATGTTAGACTCGGACCCAGCCAATATGTGATTTTTAATCAAGATTCGCGCTACCGGACTGTACCTTATAAAGTGRACATGATACAATTAGAAATTAATTCTCATCCAAAAGAGAAAATGCTGCTAAATACATCTTTGAAGAAAGAAATTGATCTTAAATTCCTTTTTCTAAGTTATGGGCAATTCAAACTTCGCAAATGCAAAAGTGACTTCTACTAAKGAATGATTTAATATACAAAATTATGAAAGAGGACGTTATTCTCTCAGTTACATTGAATAACGTATTTTTAGCTCTCAATTGTTACTATGATTGATGATTT